AGTATCTAATGACATTTCTCTTCCGTTTGATTGAATATGCAGCAGGCACTAAATAGTTGTACACGCTCTGAAGAACATGTGTTTTTCACTATGCCTTGGCCAACATTCTGAAATTCAAACTTGCGACTTTTTTCCAGATTCTCCAATTTTTGGGGGAGTTGTGAGAAAAAAATAGTTTTCTTTGTCTTTTGGAATGTTTGCCTTACTTTGAAGCATTTAAAACCCCCAACCTTGATACGTCTTGAAAGTTCTGCATTTTAAATAATTTTTCTGCAAAATGAATCCAATACTTGAAGTCACTTTTTTTACTAACAGAAACGTTTCGTTAAATGAGTCTCTTGTAATGTGGGGACTCACTGTTGGGGAAGTTGAACAAAGCCGTTTTTCTGTCTGCTGTGCATTTAGGACGTTGTGTTACAGTTATAGTGAAAGCGGGACAGGGATATAGTTGTGAAGGGCGAGGGAGAGTGGCTGGTTGACATTACAGTACAACAAAATTGGTAACGTCAATTCACTCAGCTGGTATCCAAGGCGAAGCCGCGAGGGAGGGAGGCAGGCACTTGTGGCCGTCTGTTGGGAGGGTGGTGGTGTGCATTTTGCGCCTGTTTGCCGAGAGACAGGGACACGTACTGTACTCTACTGTATTTCGTTTCCCCGGCCCTACAGTGTGACAATCCCTACAGTAGCCAACTGCGCGTCTCAGCGGGAGGACGGTTTTTATCTACGTAGAGCTTCGTGAAACGCAGTTCGCGTTTCTTTTCTTCGTCTCGCCGCGTCGACATAATTTCTTACACTTCATGTAAAACTGTGGCTACTTTTATATGTGTGCGTGTATGTGAAAAATGATTCAGAAGTATGATGGTCTCTTTTGGTCCGTGTGGCTTTTCCGCAGTGTGGTTTCCTGCCCGGTGTGTCCAGTGAGCGATTGAAGCTCGTCAACATGGGCGCTATTCGTGGTTCGGACGACCATCGGTTCTCCGTGCTCTCCTTCGACCAGGTCAGTCAGTCTCTTCCACCCTCACCAATCAAGCGAAAATCACGTGGTATCTGTATTTGGTAATCTTCTTGCGACGATTTGAAAGGACGATTTGAATGATTCAAAAACTGAGCGTTACGTTGTGTTGCTTTCGAATCGAGGCGGAGATTCACAGTAAAATGCAAAAGGAACAGATTTTACCGCCTCTTTCAAGTCAGGCCGAAAAGTGCGCCGAAAGGGCGACGCCGACCAACTGCAAAAAGCTTCACTTGTCAAAGGTACTCCTATTTATTTTAAATAATTCTCCGGACACCAACTCGACCCACTGGACGACTGGATTATGCAGGAAAAAAATGGAAATCGTAAATTATGCGGCTGTTGATAGATCACATTTAATGACCTTCCCCGCTTTTCTCTCCGAAAGACCGGAACGTGTGCTGGGAAAATTCTGAAATTATCTTGTGATCGCTTTGAAAAGGATGAGGGTCGTGTAATCCTATAGCTTCCGACATTTTAGTGATTGACAAAATAGTTTTGATGCGCTTTGAGTTGATATTGTTTCGAATCAAGTAATGCTTGTCTGGTTCGAGATGTATTTTTATTAGCTATGTTTTGGTCTTGTACTCGAATAAGGCTTAGGATTAAGATGCCTTTGCTTGCTGAAATCAGTTCCATCGGTATTTGGTCACGTGATTTATATGGAATCGATGTTCGTAGGGTTTTTTTGTTTTTGGGAAGAAGTGAGGTTAGTTCGGATCCATCTAACTTGGGTCATGTCACTAAGAGTTTGTAGGCGCCGGAATGTATGTGTTTTGTAGGAAAGGAAGCCCAGCTGTGTTGTGCATATTTTTGCGAGTTGACACATTTATTGTAATGCTGGGGAATTTTGGCTGAATGGCCCATTTCTAGCGGAACCAGCTGCGACAAGTGTTTCTATCCTACTAAAAGAGAATTTTTTCTCAAGCTATTTCGGTGTTTTCCCTTCCTTTAAGCATGTTATCTTTGTTGATAACGACGTGAAAACAGAATTTTTTTTTTTGAAGAACCAGTCGGACGTTAGAGTACTAGAGAAATAACTTTCCTGCATGTCTTCTTCGGATCATTTGCTCCTATACTTTCTCAAGTAATTTCTCCGTATTCCAAGCTTTTAAAACCGCCTTTTTTCAAAGGAATTTTAGAGAAACTCAGACGTTCTGAGTGAATTATTTGTTCGCTTCGTTTCTCAACTCTGGTGGATTTCTCTCTTTCTAATCCTGCATCTTCGTGATCGTCTGGAGCGTATCATAGTACAGTACTGTATTACAATTTTCTGCAGTGCTTTTAGAACTTCGATGAATCATTTGAAGTGAGCGAATGAAGGTATGACTGGTGAGATTACATCGTGAAGCTTTCTGACGTAGCAAAGGCGGTTTTTTTCGAAGTCAAGGTATTAAAAAAAAAAAAAAAAGAATGTGATATTGGGCGAGGTTTGATTTATTCGCGAAACTTGGGGAAATTCTTTTTTATGAAATTTGTGGAACTTTTCACGAAAGACTGAGCACGGAACTTTCCCGAGGATTTATTTTTGGAACGGAATTTTACTCATGGTTCCCATCATTTGCTGATGTGTATCGAGTGTGTGTTATCGTCATTATTCCTGTCTTGGACCCAAGAACCCTGAAGGGAATTTCGATAATTCCCTGGTTTGGGCCATCTCACGTGTCCCGAGGGCAGGGCAACACCACCTCGTCCTTGCTCTCGGGTTGCCAGGGGAACTGAATGGACGAGGACGCCGACACCCGCGGGGTGTCGATTCCCGTCGAATCTCTCTTCATTTATATTTAAATACCCTACTCATAAGAATTTGTTTTTGTTTTAATCTCCAGACGTATCCATTTTTCATGCAACAGATCTCGGGAATTCTCCTTTTGTGAATGCATTACTATGATTTATGTAAAATTGATCTCATTTTGATCCGATTTTCATCAAGATTGCTGTAATTTATATGGAATCGATGAACGTTGGGACTTTTTTCCAATGCCAAATTGTTTGGCTCTGTTAATGGTTCGACGTCTACTTTCGACATCCACTTAAATCTGTTTATGACTTATTTTCATGCAGTCACCCGAGAAGTGGTGTTTTGCTTTCGTTTCATCAATCATGTTTCGTCCATTATCCCTTTAAATGTGTTATATCCTCCCATAAGTTCTATGATTTAGTAACTAATTTTCTTGCTCATCATCTGCTCATTTAAATAAAACTTTTAAGATTCAGTACGATTTCTTGACCGGTTAGGGAATGTCTGTTGAGATTTATCGAGGCCAAAAGCCGCTCGTGGTGGTGTTTTTAATCAGGTTTCCAGTGCTCCTGGATTGTGCATAATCGCTGATGATCGCTGTGATCCATTTCCAAAGTACCAACGGACATTGTTATCCAAGTTGTGGTACTTAAGTTAATGGATGATAAGTTCCCTAGGAAAAAAATAACAGGAGAGAGCTACCTGCATGATTTATCTTCTTTTTTTCTCTGGCTTACAAACCGAGTAGAGAATCAGGTGAGACAATGTAATTGTTCATGGTCGAGCGAATTTTTCTATGAAGCATTATCAAGTACTGGGTGTGGAACAATGTTATTTTGTGTATATTGCTGGCCCGAAAAAACGTCTGGGAAGAGTTGAAAAACCAAGTAAGCGGTTTTTAAAAGTCTTCTTGCTGCATTAGTCCGACGATTGCTTCAATTAAATATTCTTTTCTTTACGATGTTTCAGTTTTATCGGCTGAAGTATTTGATGACGCAGAAGCGTATTATTTTAGAAATGAATTACCGTATTTACGATTTCGCCCGAATGGTTCATGAAAATCAACAAGAATTCGATCTACACGTGCGGAATTTTCTGGAAGAGCATTAAATATTTGGTCATGTGGGGATTGAGCTTTGATATTTTATACGTATTCTGACATAAACGCGGATCAAGGCCATTGACTGACGTGTGATAGACGAGGTGCCGGAAAATAGAAATATTTATTGAGAGTTCTGAACTTGAGCCTACGTCTTAGACAAGGACGAGTCTCAAACCAGCGATATTTCAAACGTGCACTAATTTCTGCGCAAATTGAAATATGTCACCATTTTCAGAGTCCTGTAACCTCCTGTTTTTCGAGTCTCGTCAATTTTTTGCCGCGCCAATTTAGCAGCCAAGAAAAAAAACATGTTGCAATTTTGTGTCATCGTTGTAGCTCTCTCATTCGGACAAGTTCCACTCTTTTTTTTATTCTTCGTTGCAAAGAATAGTAATATTGTATTTCAGTACTTGATGCGACTACCAGGTAGTAAAGTGTCATTTTACGTTTTCCTTGTCTAAAATGGCGGAGAAAGTTCAGTCCGGCTTTTCACGCGGCTTTCCCGCTGCGGCTGGTTGACGTTTTTCGAAGTGAACAGTTTCCATGAGGATAAATAAAATAAAAAAAAAAAACGATTCTCAGGACACCAACTCGACCCACTGGATGACTGGATTATGCAGGAGAAAAATGGAAATTGTAAATTATGCGGCTGTTGATAGATCAAATTTAATGACTTTCCCCGCTTTTCTCTCTGAAAGACCGGGACGTGTGCTGGGAAAATTCTGAAATTATCTTGTGATCGCTTTGAAAATGATGAGGGTCGTGTAATCCTGTAGCTTCCGACATTTTATTGAGTGACAAAATAGTTTTGATGCCCTTTGAATTGATATCTTTTTGAATAAAGTAATGCTTGTCTGGCTTGAGATTTATTTTCATCATCTATGTTTTGGTCTTGTGCTCGAATCAGGCTTTGGATTAAGATACCTTTGCTTGCTGAAATCAGTTCCATCGGTATTTGGTCACGTGATTTATATGGAATCGATGTTCGTAGGGTTTTTTTTTTTTTGGGAAGAAGTGGGGTTAGTTCGGATCCATCTAACTTGGGTCATGTCACTAAGAGTTTGTAGGGGCCGGAATGTATGTGTTTTGTAGGAAAGGAAGCCCAGCTGTGTGGTGCATATTTTTGCGAGTTGACACATTTATTGTAATGCTGGGGAATTTTGGCTGAATGGCCCATTTCTAGCGGAACCAGCTGCGACAAGTGTTTCTATCCTACTAAAAGAGAATTTTTTCTCAAGCTATTTCGGTGTTTTCCCTTCCTTTAAGCATGTTATCTTTGTTGATAACGACGTGAAAACAGAATTTCTTTTGAAGAACCAGTCGGACCGTAGAGTACGAGAGAAATAACTTTCCTGCATGTCTTCTTCGGATCATTTGCTCCTATACTTTCTCAAGGAATTTCTCCGTATTCCAAGCTTATAAAAACGTCTTTTTTCGAAGGAATTTTAGAGAAACTCAGACGTTCTGAGTGAATTATTTGTTTGCTTCGTTTCTCAACTCTCGTGGATTCATCTCTTTCTAATCCTGCATCTTCGTGATCGTCTGGAGCGTATCATAGTACAGTACTGTATTACAATTTTCTGCAGTGCTTTTAAAACTTTGATGAATCATTTGAAGTGCGCGAATGAAGGTATGACTGGTGAGATTACATCGTGAAGCTTTCTGACGTAGCAAAGGCGGTTTTTTTCTCGAAGTCTTGAAGGTATTTTGAAAAAAAAACTTGATATTGGGTGAGGTTTGATTCATTCGCGATACTTCGAGGGATTCTTTTTCATGAAATTTGTGGAACTTTTCACGAAAGACTGAGCACGGAACTTTCCCGAGGATTTATTTTTGGAACGGAATTTTACTCTTGGTTCCCATCATTTGCTGATGTGTATCGAGTGTGTGTTATCGTCATTATTCCTGTCTTGGACCCAAGAACCCTGAAGGGAATTTCGATAATTCCCTGGTTTGGGCCATCTCACGTGTCCCGAGGGCAGGGCAACACCACCTCGTCCTTGCTCTCGGGTTGCCAGGGGAACTGAATGGACGAGGACGCCGACACCCGCGGGGTGTCGATTCCCGTCGAATCTCTCTTCATTTATATTTAAATACCCTACTCATAAACTTTCAGTTTCGGAATTTGTTTTTGTTTTAATCTCCAGACGTATCCCTTTTTCATGCAACAGATCTCGGGAATTCTCCTTTTGTGAATGCATTACTATGATTAATGTAAAATTGATCTCATTTTGATCCGATTTTTATCAAGATTGCTGTAAATTATATGGAATCGATGAACGTTGGGACTTTTTTCCAATGCCAAATTGTTTGGCTCTGTTAATGGTTCGACGTCTACTTTCGACATCCACATAAATCTGTTTATGACTCTGTTATTTTCATGCAGTCACCCGAGAAGTGGTGTTTTGCTTTCGTTTCATCAATCATGTTTCGTCCATTATCCCTTTAAATGTGTTATATCCTCCCATGAGTTCTATGATTTAGTAACTAATTTTCTTGCTCATCATCTGCTCATTTAAATAAAACTTTTAAGATTCAGTACGATTTCTTGACCGGTTAGGGAATGTCTGTTGAGATTTATCGAGGCCAAAAACCGCTCGTGGTGGTGTTTTAATCAGGTTTCCAGTGCTCCTGGATTGTGCATAATCGCTGATGATCGCTGTGATCCATTTCCAAAGTACCAACGGACATTGTTATCCAAGTTGTGGTACTTAAGTTAATGGATGATAAGTTCCCTAGAAAAAAAAACAGGAGAGAGCTACCTGCATGATTTATCTTCTTTTTTTCTCTGGCTTACAAACCGAGTAGAGAATCAGGTGAGACAATGTAATTGTTCATGGTCGAGCGAATTTTTCTATGGAGCATTATCAAGTACTGGGTGTGGAACAATGTTATTTTGTGTATATTGCCGGCCCAAAAAAACGTCTGGGAGGAGTTAAAAAACGAAGTTAGCGTTTTTTAAAAGTCTTCTTGTTGCATTAGTCCGACGATTGCTCCAATTAAATATTAATTTCTTTACGATGTTTCAGTTTTATCGGCTGAAGTATTTGATGACCTAGAAGCGTGTTATTTTAGAAATGAATTATCTACGATTGCGCCCGAATGGTTCATGAAAATCAACAAGAATTCGATCAACACGTGCGGAATTTTCTGCAAGAGCATTAAATACTTGGTCATGTGGGGATTGAGCTTTGATATTTTATACGTATTCTGACATAAACGCGGATCAAGGCCGTTGACTGACGTGTGATAGACGAGGTGCCGAAAGATAGAAATATTTATTGAGAGTTCTGAACTTGAGCCTACGTCTGAGACAAGGACGAGTCTCAAACCAGCGATATTTCAAACGTGCACAAATTAAAATATGTCACCATTTTCACAGTCCTGTAACCTCCTATTTTTCGAGTCTTATCAATTTTTGCCGCGCCAATTTAGCAGCCAAGAAAGAAACATGTTGCAATTTTGTGTCATCGTTGTAGCTCTCTCATTCGGACAAGTTCCACTCTTTTTTTTATTCTTCGTTGCAAAGAATAGTAATATTGTATTTCAGTACTTGATGCGACTACCAGGTAGTCGTGCCTGAAAAAAACGAGTTTTCAGCGCTGGAAAAGTACTGAATGTCACTCACTCATGTTTGACGCACGCGCAAGGCCGAGAGGAACACGAAAATAATTTGAGAATTAACCAGTAGCCTGAACTATTGTCATACAAAAAACATGTTTGAAGATTTCTGACGTTTGAATAGATCATTTGGTCTCGAATTTGCATTGTTCCCCGAAACTTTGTGAAATTCTCTCCAGCAATTGGCTTGAATTTCAAGAGGATTTTTCGCCATTCGTAAAAACTGAATTAGTCATAATATTCTTAAAACAAATATTTTTGTTGTTGTAAAATGTGCTCAGGAGATCTTTATTTTTTATGAAATAAAATAATTCAAATATTTTTATAGTTATATTTTATATAATTTTATTTTTATGAATAGAAAAATCATTTTTAGGGGGGGGGGGGAGAAGAATTACAAGACATTGTAATTATTTTATATTTTGTGTCTTAAAGTGCCTCCTGTCAATGATTTGACGGGTTGCCGAAGTTGAAGGCAAGAATTAATTTGCCCAATAGGTCTTTCATGTATTTTCAAAACGCATCCAGCTTCGTTTTTGTCGCTTCCTTTTTCCTGTGTCGATCAAATAATAGGCAAAAGGTCTCCAGTAAATTCGAATTGTGCAGGTTTAAGCCTTTTTGAGTTCGGGAGGTTTTTAATGCATTGTTTCTAAGGAATTCAGTCGGAGACTGGAAAATACAGTACTGTACTCTGACATAGGGAGGTTAAGCTGAACCCCTCCAAGCTCAATAGCTTCTAGTTGTCATAAGGGTTAGGAAACTCTTTTCACTTCATTCAAGGTCGGTAAACTCTCCTTCTTAGCACCGTTTAGTAGTGCTGAACGTCTTTTTAATGTGATCATTTAAACAATATGCGTCAGTCAGGTGAACATGTTACCTGCAGGCAAAAACCTATAAAAGCCCAAGATCAAAGAAAATATTCAGTTGCTGAAGCCATTGGAGTTGTGTAATTGTTTTTTTTTTTCTCTCACTAACTGTGCTCGAGTTGCATTGATATTTTCTTTCTTTTTTTGTTGCCAGGTTCGCTATTTTTTTTTAATCCACTGGCAACCTTGGGTGATTTTTCTTTTAGTTCGAAGCAGTTGAAGAAATTTTGCGCTGGCGCACATTAGTTTTCCTCCGACTTTTTCGGTCCTTAATGGGTTACGATACATTTTAATCGAATGTAACAACTAGTGAGATTGCGAAATATCACTTTGGCCTTGTTGCAACTGTTGCAGTTTTTTTGTTATTCGTACGAGTTCGTGTTGCGTCGAAGCTATTCTCGGCCTGTCGAGATTTATTTTTGGAGACGTTGCGTCGATTGATTGGGCGAGAAATGACGAAACCGACGCGATGCCGGCTGACCGGCCTTGAGAGACTCATTTTTTTCTTCTAAATGTATATA